AGTTGCATTGCCAATCCCATCAGGTCTTGAGGTTGATGCTTTGAGACGTACGTAGTTGCACTCCAGACAGCCGCGTTTCTAATTACGATTGGCTTATTGCTTCACATCAACTGCTGTAATGAAGACGACAGGAGTGTAATGAGGACCCACTATCGCCATGATTCCTTGGATTATGATGAGGCGGCTTCCAATTTATTGTCTACTCATCAGTTAAATTATTCTTGTGTATGAATAAATAAGTAAATGAATGGATGAATGGCCACCTTTTTTGGTATAACTGAACAGCATCGCTGTCGCTGTTGCTCTCGTCACCATCATTGTCACCACACCTTTCGTGCTTTCAGGTTGGCTGTGGTGGCGCAGTGGGATTTCCCCACATCTTCGTAGGTTGCACGCACCTTTCTCTGTTTCCGCATTTCTACCCCACTTTATCTCCCTCCATCATTGTCGTCTCCTTGTCTTGTCGCCAGAGTCAAAGCTATTCCAAGTATGAAGAAGAAGAAGAAGAAAGAGAAGAATTTTCCTACTCAGTTGTTACTTTCACTGACAACAACCACTTTGTTATTTCATCCCTGAGTATGTGATTTGTTAGTAATTTACTTTTTACTCAGACTGTTGTGTTTGCTTTGCATCTGGGTGGGATCGTGTAGAAGCCCACGTCACCAGCATTGGTGGATTGAGTGGGGGGAGGGGGTGGCGGTAGCAAGTGGATTCCATTTGTATCATCGCCTGCTATTTTGACTGTCAACATCGAAGTAGAAGGTGGGTCCATATTAGTCAGTCATATTTTTGTACATGGTCGAATGTACCCAGTCTCTTGTTAACGTCGACGTAGCATGTAATGACTAGTTTGTTGGGGCAGGAATGGGCTTACGAATGTTCTAGGGATAAACAAACACCTAATGAGTGCAAACAGAGCTTGGAATTTGGCATGTGGATCTTTGAAAGCTTCTTTGCAAAATTAATGTCACGACATGGCTGTGTGCAGCATCCAATTCACATTGTGGTGCTCTATTACCTTAGACTTTGGAAGAGAGCTGTCTCACATCTCTGTTAAAATGATGTAATTACTCCTTACTAAAAGGCATTAGATAGCATATTTGAATGCGACTAGACTGCATTCACAAAGGCTGCAGGATTGCCATTTCTGCAAGACAACAGTAGTGCCAGGGCTCGTTTTTTGCAGCCACCATCGTGGTTACGCTTTATACTTCCGAAAAGCGTGTGGATGTTGGGGCTGCATGCAGGCACCAGCACTACAGTTCGACACCCCATTCCAGTGTGGCCCGATATCGTAACCATCATCCCTCACCTCATTGAACTCAACAATGGGATGTGTGATGTGGGGAATCGACGTCACTACTTGAACGATGGTGATCTCAGACGAATCCCTCCTCATGCATGTGAGAAATTTAGTCGGCACAGATGAGGGCGTAACCTGCTGTACGACTTGGTTAACAGAATGATGCCTTAAGCGGTTAATGGGCTGCACACTTTTTGACTGTCCTTGCATTTAACTTAGCGTGTGCTTCACGCTGCTGATAGCAAAATACTCCATAATTGTGGTGTGTGCAGTTGTAATTGCTCCCTTTGAGTTATAAAAGGAGGGCGACATTCAAAGGCCATGGGGTAGCAATGCATGTGAAATGGATTCGGTGAAACAGATCACTGAATACCACTTTACTGAAGGCACGATTGTCAGAACGGCTGAATCCCTCGCTGTGTGAGAGAACGTAATGCGAAATCAAACAGTCACTAGAGGTTTCAATCCTGAAGTCAATCTTCCCTCATAATTATCGGTGGAAACAAACCTTTGTGACGCGATTACCAGTGCCAATCCTGTTTCTCTTCCATCACGGGTAATAAATTTTCCAGCCTAGAGCTACTGGAAAAGGACACTCACACAACACAAACCATGAAAGTGAATCTTTCATTTTCCTTAAAATATATAACTGAAATTCATTCCTCACCTGCACTAGAAACCCATGGATTTGAAAGCAGAAATTTGTTCTTATTGCCCCACTGTGCTGTCAAACATGTCATTTCTTGATTCACGCAAATCAGCAGCACAGATCATTGCCCTATCCTAAATTCAGTGACACCATTGAGTCATGGGCACCAACTTGAGTGGAGATAACAGCAACAACTCGACGCATATAACGAAATACTCAACACAGCCTACAGATGAGAATGATGAGGTGCTGCCAAGTGGTCCCCATGGCTTTGCTTCTCCAGGTGTTGCCATCTTGACAAATACGGGTTCGTTAGAGGTCATCGTCTTCTGGGTAGCGTTACTGGTCTTCTGATTGGCCCACTCCATCCTGCCAACTGTTGGAATAAACAACAACACTTTGTAAAAATTACACCGGAAAGGCCAGGCTTCCACGCCTACGAGCCACGACAGTCCAATGAGCTTTGAGGTTGCAGCGTATTGCAGTTGCAACTTCGGCTTCACCCTTTATTCAACGACTGTCCTCTCGCATCTACCTACTTGCAGAAAGTTAGGTGCACTGCTTCTTGTCCACACAACCTGATAGGGATTTTCTGATAAGTAGATTTACTTGTGACTGAGTTTGTTATGATATGAGCAGGACCGCTGCATTCCTCTGGGTGTCAAATAAAGTCGGCAGTGGCCTATCCCACTCATTGCTGCCTACGGCCGCACCCCCTCCCAAACCGATTGACATCAGGCTATTTGCGACAAAGAAGCGAACAATGGGTCAACGAAGTGTGTAGCAACCTACCGCGCTTGATGAATTGAAGCCTCGATTCCACCTGCGACTGACTTCCCATGCACTGTTATCCTCAACTTCGACAGGGGTTGTAAACGTCGCTTCAAAGGAATGCCACCACGTAAGCCAAAGTATCAAACACCACTACAAAATTCGGGTGGTGCATTTGCTAAGGGGCCAGTTTGGGCTGGAAAATAAATTAGAATTCGTTAGTTTATTTCCAATTTTAATCAACTTACACATTAAATTTGGAATTGGTGTCACCCTCCAAACTTCACATACTTACGTGTGTACACATTATGTGGTTGGTGTGTTCTGAGTTGGCTTTGCCGACAACCTTGAACCCTGTCAACTAGAATATATGATCAGTGGTTTGGTATTTTAAGGTCAATTAATGAATAAGGAGCACAGTGGCCTTTTTTGTGTTATTTGGGAATTCCCGAACATAAGAAGCTTTTTTGTCATGCACGTAGTGGGTGTCGTGCTTTTCCACTTAAATTTGACAAATCCAAAAGCACCACATTATCATCTTGTGATGGTTTCATGCAACATTTCCATTTCGACTAGTACTCTGGCGAAAACAGATGAACGGCGAAGTCCCCTTTTAGTTTAAAATATTCTTACTTCATCCATTGGTGGACAGCAGATGTGTGTGCGCATTTAGCAATAATTATGCATCTACTTCAACACTTCGCCATTCCATTCTTCCATGCTATACCAGGTGTGAAATGGTGCACACCACAAGGAAGTTGGCACATTCGTCTAACCACTCAGGGAAGTTGCCTATTAGGATGTGCTCTGTGGATTTGACAATTGTTTTGCTGATGCTGTAAACCGTGTCTCCTCCCACTTTCATCTCTTCATCGGCGCCTTCATGCTAGAATCACCTCGTTGGAAAATGGTTAACCTCTTGATCTGCCGTTTTTATTTATCCACACTTGCATAGCCTGACATTATCCGTAATCGCCAGCTTTCAGTGCTTCCTTATTAGTAAAGGGGGAATGCACAAAACAGGAGGGTAAGTTACGGCCGTTCCCTACCAGGTCCAAATGTTACTTTATGTAGGCACCACTCGCATATTGAACACCTTATCGTGTGGTGATGGACCAACTAACCAACCGTCTAGTCAATGTAGGTGGAGAACCCAACCATGATTACGGGAGACTTTAACACATCACACTATGCCACGGTAGATGCAATGCTCCGTCCTCACCATATGATTGACTTGTGTCCAAAAGTGAACAAAAATGCTATTTAGTCTACGACAATAGTGAATTTGCCTTCGATATCTTACCCTTACGAAGGCCTTCCATCCACTCCTGAGACGACTGCCATCTGTGTGGTCAGTGGTCTCGAAACATAGGCATCATATTCCTCCATAGTTTTGGCTCTTTATGCTGCAACGACGAGTGCATTCTTCACCCATGTCTAATTTCACTGCTCCTCTTGTTCGCCTTTTGGCGTTTTGCCCCCACCACTTTTATTTTGGTTAAATGATTAGCCTGATTGTGTGTTCAGGCCAAAAAATTTTCGGGCAATAAGAAGATCACAAGCAATTGCATACCATGAAGTTTACAAATAGCAGTTGCTCTGGCTGGAACAGAAATGGTCAATTGTTCACCTGCTAAAATATTTTAACAATACAATGACAGAACAAAGGTGATGAACAAGAGAAGAATGAGTGGCCGCGATTGCTGTATTTGAGTATTTGTTTGAAAAACCACCCACTGCCTAGATTACCACTCTGGCAAGGCATTACGATTTGTTTTAAAAAGCGCATTCCGCCACTTACACAAATGTGGAATAGAATGTTGTTGAGAATTAAATCATAGATGGTTTTAGATGTAAATGAAATTCGACCAAATGCTGAGGTGCCTGTCCAACCCATAGGAGTCAAGTTTTGAGTAGGTTAAATCATTTGTTGTTTGAGAAACGTGCTATTGCTGTCTAGCCCTTACACATGTGTATAGATCTTTGCCACATTATAATCTTGAATGATTGAAATAACCTAACTTTACAGTTCCGAGGGAGTGCATATTCCTCAAACCAGGTGTAATACATGTGCACATGGAGCAGAGTTTAAGTTGTCTCTAGTTCCTTGGCCTCCATCCTAAATATTTCTCTATAAACGCTTCACCTTTGCTAAATTTACACCTGACTTTTCCATAATGCATGGTTTTAACTGCTAAAAATAGCACACCTTCGTACTTCCATCCACATCAACGTATTCTACTACTTATAACCGACAGAGTTTTCAACATGCTAGGGTGAGTGGATCGAGGTGTTGCGCACTTGAAAAAGGAAATGCACTAGGATGGTGGGAAAACTGGCGTAAGCTAAGATTCTTCAGTTTGTTTCCATTCTCAAACAGCTTGTCCATTGGATGTTGAGTCAATGTCACCAAATAAATGCGAATGTTCGAATGTGGATGCGGATATGTGATTGGCGTTATCAAAACTGGCTTCGACTTTAACCCTAAACTGTGTCAGCTTGAATACATGATCAGCAATTTTACATTGTAGGGCTACTTAATAAGTTGTGAGTACATTACGCCGTCTGTTATTGTGAATTACTTTGATTGCTTGCTTAACGCCTCGTCTCGGCTTCGAGGGCATCCAAGACACTGCCTTTGTACTTTCGTCGGGTGGCATGCTCTCCAGGCATGCCAGGAGACATCTAGCCCTCTTGTACCCCGATAATACATATTCTGCCCCAGTTCTGTGCCTTATTTCGTCTTCAGGTAAGTCATGGGGTGCTGCGTTGGCTACAGAGCATAGCCAGGTCGATCTTGAAGAACAAATGCCCGCATTTTTATTACTGAATGCCAAACCTTAATTTGATGGAAGGCGAGCATATGCTGCGAATGGGAGAGTCTGTGACCTCGCCCAACAGAGTGGTAGAAAATGACACCCACCTTCGGTAACTGCCCCAGTTTTGTGCTGCGTAAAAAAGCCATGAACCACTGAGGCGGCACTGACCATCAGCTATTTGGGAAAATCTCTTACAGGGCTGTCTGCGACACCTGCATATAGATATCCTATAAGGCAAAATGCGGTACCTCACTTAACTTTCCACTAGCTGGGTAGAAACCAGGTGGGTATGGCTGGCCAGCACTGAAGCGACAACAAAGTAACGAGCAGGAGTAAGTGAAAAACATTGTTTTAACGGAACTCTTTCTTCACCCAGCCCCTTTTAAATGGCTCTTCCTTTAGGCCAGTCTTCCTGTGACTAGATGTAGACATACGTGATGACACGCACATCCCCCTTTCTCCAACAGTGTTCTCAAACAGAATGAATATTCAGATTTTGTAGAATTGCAAAGAGGAATGAGTGACGTAGTGAGATACGTCTTCTGTTGCACGCAACTTTGATGCCTGGAGTGGATGGCTTGTGGGTGTTTTCCTTACGTCATCGAATATGGTGGGATGGCGGACGCCGGTAGTTGACCAATGGAAGGGCCGAAGACGAGGCACAAAATGAGAGGGTGTTATGTAGCAATTGGCAAATTTGTTAATCCCCACTTTTGGTTTCCATCACACTTGTGGCTGCAGCTTTGTACTTTCGCCCATCGACATGGCCTCTGGGCCATACCACTACCCATCCAGTCCTTCTCCATGTCGATAATACAAATTCTGCCACAGTATTGTGCCATCTCTTGTCTTCAGGGAAGTGTCACGGTGCTACATTTGCGGGAATC